CCGGCCGCAGAGTAAACAGCGGAGCCACTGTTTGTACACAGATCAACCAGGTGACACAATTGGCCCCCCGCCGCTTGATTTGATCCTGTGATGTAAGCGCCCGCCCCCCCCTGCCAACCTGATTCACCCCGTCGTCCCACCGCGGGGGGCCTCCTAACACTGCTTTGTATTTATAGATAGGGTTTCGGTGTCTACTCACGGGGTAAGCGGTTCGGTTCTCCTCAGGGACAGACACAAAGCTCCGCACAAAAAAAACAAAACAAAAAATGTCGGGTCGTTTTTTTCTCTTCCATCCGCAGGGTGGCTACGGAGTTTCAGGAGATTGGGTTACTTTTACGCAAGGTTGGGGAAGTTATTTTTGGCCGAGCAGATTGGGTTGGAGATGAGATTTGGGTGGACTGAAGTTGAAATCAATTTACTGTCGCATTCTTTGGAAATGTAGGTCATTGTATATTAGCGCAAGCGTAAGCTAGCAAGCGTAAGCTAGCAAGTGATGCTAGCCAATTTAAAATGGAAAAAAAAAGGCAACAGACAGAAAACACAACAGAGCGATGGAGTGCTTAGAGACAAATCTGCGACGTTCTGAAGTAACATCGAGCGAGATTGGCCCGATCGGTCACATTGAAGAGGAGCTATTGTGACCTTTATTTACAAAAGTCATCTGAAAAATGTTCACCAAAGTACAGAAACGTTAAAGGCCTTTTCCCTCGCCCAATATTTGACCCTTTTTCCAACGGTCAGTGGAAATTAAGTTTTTCTGTGTAATCGGGTCTTGGCCACACGCTAACAAAACAGTGAGTGACACACAATGGCAGCACAGTCGGTGAACTGTGAGTGCCCCGAGGAAACATCACCTCGTCCCTCCGGCGTTCACAATGGAGTCAAATTCAGTTCATTCCACTGTTTTTTTGTTTTTTTTCCCCCTCTCATTCCAAATGTCCCGGCCAAACGACAACCCTCATTTGTTTTTGTGGCATTAGTGACTCAAAGGCTTTTATTGCCCCTGATGATCCCGAGCCGGGAGGAGGTGATACAACTTTCCATTGTCCCTCCTCCCAATTTGTTAGGCAAGCCCTGTTAACCATTGTTGAAGGTGACTTACAAACAACGTAGCACGAGGGGTAATATTTTAGTATTCTTCCATAAGGAAAGGCCTTCGATTGATTGTTCAAAGTGAAGCGCTGCATTTTTTTTTATAGCTATAAAACCAACACGCATTATAGTACAGAACATTTTGTCACAAAGACATCTTGTGCAACTCTTTAAAAAAAAAAAAAGTGATTTTATTAGAGCAGCGGTTCTCAATCTTATGTGTTTATTCTTCGTGGCAGGGGTTCACTTTGGCCTGGGAAGTCAAGTTCAGCATTCGCTTCGATGATATCTGGCGCCATCTGGCGTCGTGAATGGGTATAATGTCTAGACCCCGAATATAAGACGACCCCCACTTTTTCAGTCTTGTTTCAATGCAAAAAACACCGTCTTATATTCGGGCCAATACGGTAGGTAATTTGTCTCTTAAAATATATTGCACAGCAGTGAAAAAGAATTGTAGCTAGCTAAATATGAATCAAAACTAAGATGGCATGCTAATGTATTGTCAGCCTACTTAAAAGTTAAATCCAACTGAACTATAATTAACAAATGCGCCATACTGGATTTTTAAAAAAATGGACGCCACTGTAACACGAGCCACACTTAAGTGATTCTTTCACATGCCACTAGAGGGAGCGCGTGTGAGAATCACAGGTTGAGGCAAGAGAAAGTAAATGATGAAGTAATTATTCATCGGCGACATCCGCTGTTTGAGGGAATTCTTGTCAATGTCTGTCCGCGACGACGACACGACGACATGAACGTCTGTGACGCGTTTAGTTGTTAACGTTTGTTAAAAAGCAGTGTTGTTTTTCCTCATGAAATCACTTTTTGTAATTCTGTGAGCTTTTCCTCATCATTTGGCATATTTTTGGGGGGCCTGAACAGCCGTTTAGTCGCTGTTTACATTGACGAGTCTACATTTGTCTTTGGATTTTCGTCACGTGAAGTTTCATGACCTCGCAAGGGCACGTGAACGTGCCCCCCCCCCCCTCCACACGTGCTTGTTTATGTTCACAAGGGGAAGGAAATGAGTAGTTTCTTTCCTCTGTTTCAGGAAGTGTCATCACGCTTCTGCAAGCAGGGCCTTTTGGTTTGGCTGCTCAAGTTGTCGTTTTTTTTTTTGTCCCGGCGGCCATCATTTTCAACATACGCGAGCTCCCGCGTGTCCGTCATCCGTGGTTTTCACTTCGCATCTCCATTTTTTCCTCTCTCCCTCATTCCCTTCTCATTTTCCTCGCCCCCTCGCCATCCTCCGCCCCGTCCCGATGTTAGCGTGTCCACAACGCCGACATTATCCTCTAAGTCCATTAACTTTGTGAGGCTTTCGGAAGAGTCAGGACAGCGATATAACAGGAAGTAAGCCGCCGTCGTCTAATAATATTAAGGCGGCTCGAAAGGCCCCTTGGACACCTTTCTCATTTTTGTTTTTTTTTTCGTTCCGGTCGCTGGATGGATTGCCAAGTGTCCCTCAGCAAGTTCGTGGGACAATTGCAGCGTTGTCAATTTCCTTCACGTATAGCGCACACACGCACAAAGTCCGGAGAATTGACACACAACAATAAAGATGACTCAATTGCGGGCGTGACTCATCAAGACGAGCTTTTGTGCCTTTTGTGTCGGCGGCATAACCGTGCGGCAGAACGCCGTCAAAAGAGGGGTCTTTTATTCCCGAGCCGGTGTAATCGGGGATATTTAATCTGCTCCACTCCATTCACGAAAAGACTTATCCTCTCCATTCACGGGAAAATCTCTCCGTCAATAGCCTCCGCGCACAAAGAACGAGCAATTTCACCCCGTTTGCACGCACAGCGCTGCTAACGGCTTTGCCAAAGCGGACGTTTCCAAACAGAATTTGGGGATTCGAGTTAAACGTGAATTTCCTTCGATTTAACTTTTTTCACTGTAGTGACCGCTCACCGCTAAAGGGTTCAATTTCAAATTTTGTTTACTCTTGACTTTGATTCCATTAATGAATTATTTATTTCTCTCAAACCAGTTCCGCTTGTTTGGAGGCCAAGCGGCGCTACTTTGAGTGTCCTTGAGCCAGTGACCCCTTCCGCACGTGCTCGTCATAAATTTGTGAAATGCAGTCACGGGTATGGCCGTTTGCTCATGTGACTTTATGTATATGAAATGGGTCAAAAGAGTTCATGTGTGTGTGTTTGTGTGCAAGTGGAGAGGATTACTCGAGGCTCAAGTGGGACGCTGGGGTCACATACGCAGCTAATGAGGAAGCGCTAACAGGATAAAAAGGGCCAAGCAGCTGAGTCATGACAAAGGACATGAAGACCCGAGTCAGTCGGTGTCTGCACACGTTTGCAAAAAAAAATAAAAATAAAAAAATGGCGTTTTGGCAAAACACAAGCGGAGGACGTTTTAGGTGTGGAAAACCCCCCCTGCTGGACATCTTCATGACTTGAAACTTCAAAGAGTTTGGGAGCCACGGCACCTTCGTTAACACGGCATTAAGGCTGCTATTTGTGGAGTGGGCTGGCTTAGCGCTGCCAGCTAACGCCGGCTTCCACTTTTTTTTTTTACCGTTTCAAACGCCTGACGCAGCAGCCCCCACTGTGCTCGCGCAGGGGCGGCAACAGCCCCAAAATATTTTCTGCGCATCCAGGACATGCTGTCGATGGAGAGGCAAAGATAGATTTCATTTTGGGGGGGGGGGGGGGTGTTACTGAAGAAATTTTAAAATTATGTCATGGAGCCAATCATTTCAGCAGTACTAAAAAGTACTTGTGAAATACTGGCGATAACAGAAATGATGTCACATGGCGAAAAAGGACCCACAATCGTGATGTCATCCGCCCCTGAAGAGGACGCGTGCATTTGTGCGCGTGTGCTGGTGGGGAAGCGGAACCTGACGGCAGTCACATCGCCACTGAGACAGTCATGATTCACGGGGGAATGCCGCATTTGTCCGGCCAAATGTTGGCTTGTGTCCTTTTAGGTGTTGAGTGAGTGGGACGGAGACAGAAATAGGAGAGGGGGCACATTCTCAGCTCACGGGGACAGCCGAGTTCTATTTGTATGCAATTAGTACGAACAGGAACTCCAATTGTGTGCAGTAGTAGGACTTAAAAAACACACTCATTCAAAGTACACATTGCCTTGAGCGCTTGAAACTGTCTGGTGCTGTGGACTATAGATCAGTGACAATTGTTTAAATATGTACAGAGCTGGAGCTACGTAATAGTTCCACAGGGGGTGTGCAAAAACGCAAAGAGCCAATATAGATTTGGGTTATTGTTTAGGGAGGTAATGGCTAGAGGGAAGAAGCTGTTTGAATGTCTGCTGGATTTGGTGCGCATGGATCGCTAGCGCTCGCCTGAGGGGAGTAGCTGGAAAAGGTGGTGGGCAGGATGCGGAGGGTCCAGTAGGGTTTTCCCTACAATTGTCTTGGTTCTTGCAGTGCGCAAGTCCTCAAGAGTGGGCAGGGCAGTGCCAAGGATTCCCTCCCCGCCCCCACACAGTCCAAACTGTCCATTGTCAAATCGTAAAAATTGCAATGACAATTCCCCTGCCCTAATTTGTACATAGTGTACACGTATAAAAATCAACTAGAACTTTCATTTCATCATACCACATGGACTGTGTGGACTCTGGAATGCATGCCCAGTTTACATCAGCTTATCTCACACACACACACACACACACACACACACACTCAAATTCTAATGAACCTGACTAGCGAAAGTGTTTCGTATCCACTCTGGTGCAATCGGACTGCAACATCCTGAATTGCGCCACTTTTATCAAAACAGACGCGGCGAAAGGTGGCTGACTCACCCAAGTGCGCGAACGGGTGTGATAGTGGGGCACCACGTGAGCCCTTTTGAGAAAGGCGCCATAAAAAAAAAAAAAAAAAAAAAACCTCACAACAGAATGGAAATACACAAAGGGTAATTTTAGGCGTTTTATTGGTCCAGCGGATGCCAAATCAAGTACGACAGACTGTCATTTCCTGTGTCAGAACCTACGTAGAAAATAAATAAGGAACATCATAAAACGGTAACAAAAAAATAAACACGTCAAGCGGCTTGCGCTAACAAGCGGTTTCTTTCCGTACACGAACTCCGCTTGCTCTTTTAAGTCCCCAGCACAGTGGTACACGTTCACTCTACCTCCACTCGTATTTACAAACATTATTAACAGCACGCTTTGTGATAAGAAAAATAGAGGCGCTTATAACGTTTGTGCGCGGCGGACAATGACAGCAAAGAAATATTTCCCCCGACAGTGGGGAGACCCTGTTTTCGTTCGCCGTGTTCAGTAGCGACCGAGCTAAAAAAAAAAAAAAAACATTCAAAAGTTACTCATTTGAATGTGTGACAATATTCGATGAAATGTGAAAAATCGTAGAGAGGTTCGCCAAGCAAGCGCAACAGGCACCCGACGGCAAGAACGCCCTCTGCGCGAAATCGAAGCGGAACATTCTCGACATGGAAACTAAACGCATCCCGAATGTTGCAAAATCAGTCCACAATTTGGCTGCCGCTTGACACCCGCGTGTGAACAGTTCCAGTGTCGAATAAATACGATCCAATGAAAGTCTCCGGTGTGAACTACAGCAAGACTGAATTGACTGTGAAATCAGTCACAGTTTGCTTACAAACTTCAGAAGTTCCCGTAGAAATTTCTCGAAGGAAGGCATGAAAGTGAAAGAGGAGCGTTGCTTTAAAATGACATCTTTGGATAGAAAAAAAAAAAGACAAAAATGAAAGTCACCCCCTTCGTTTTTGCAGGATTTAAGGTACACCAATGTGAGAGGGGTAAAAATCCCAAAACAAAACAAAAAAAGAGGACGTCATCCTTTCGATTTTGAAAAGGCTTTTTTTTGTCGAAGAACTTTCATTGTGTCGAGTCATTGAGTGAAAAAGGCGCGTGGATGCCACATTCCGTTGCTGCTTTGTGACCGGCGGGGTGTCAGGACTGACTCCTCAGGTTCTGCGAACACAAACAAATGCACCGCCAACATTAAACCCTCAAGTTTAAACACCCCCCACCCCATGTCATGGTCAGTGGCGCGACGAGACAAACTACCCGCAGCGCCGTCACGTGTCGCCTGCAAACTACAAGTTACATCATCGGCGTGTATTATTAGAAGGTGTCAAAACTTGGAACGGGGTGAGCCGACGCCCTCTTAATCCTCGGTGAGTCGTGAACGGAGCAGACTTGCACACGCTAGCGGCGCTAGCGGTGCTAGCGGCGCGGCACTTCCGACTCTATCATAAAACTTGGGAATCAGCAACTAGGGTGGAATCACGACTGAAGTCTCGACCAGGGGTGTCAAACTCATTTTTTGTCGCGGGCCACGTTGTAGTTACGGTTTGCCTTGGAGGGCCGTTATGAATTTTGGGAAACCATGTCAATGTTGAATCACCTCCACATATTACAAACAAAGCGCACAACAAATTGATGAATAACTCGTTTTAAAATCAGAAGTCAAGAATAATGACTGTTATTGTAGATTACATATGACAATTAGAAATTTTGGTTTAGCAAGCATCATGGAACTTGACATGCTTGATTTGCTTTCGCGGGCCATGTGAAATGATGTGGCGGGCCAAATCTGGCCCCCCGGGCCTTGACTTTGACACCTGTGGTCTAGACCATACAAGAGGCTTTGGGATAATCTCAATTCAGTTTTCAAGGCCTTAATACCGGAATCCATTTAGTGTACTGTGAAGTCCTCTTTTTTTTGTCTAATGTAGCAGCAGCGTGGGAGCTACGAATGAACATCAAAGCTAACTGCTGCTAACTGCTTTACCTTTGAAAGACGAAGAGCGAAACTACGTCCAAGTAATGGACGGTTCGTCTTTTTCAACACAAAAAAATAAACCAAGCACAACGTTTTCGGTTTTTTTTTCCTCCCTGATCACACTTTCGTACACGGGTGTCAAACTCAAGGCCCGGGGGCCAGATCCGGCCCGTGACATCATTTAATGTCGCCCGCAAAAGCAAATCATGTATGTCACCTTTCATGATCCTTGCTAAAATGTGGACCGGAATCCCAAATTGTCATGTGTAATAAATAACGTTGAGATTTAGCGATAATTTTGATACGCAGTTTACAGTTCAATTGAACAATCATTGTAAAACCAACAAATAGTTGACTTGACTGATTTCAAAACTGGTCACGCGTTGTGCAGCATACTTACAGGCAAACGTTGCCCAGCCAGTGCTGCAAGATGCAGAGCAGGAGAAGGCAGGCAAGCACAGGAAAAGAAGGGACGTGCAATGAGTAAGTGAGAAAACATGCCGTCGAGATGTAACCATCACCTGATTTGACGTTCAGAACCGGCGTGTGACTTTTGCCTAATGTCTCGCGCGTGTTTACGTTGGCACCCACCTGGCCGGCCAGTGTCAGCGGGAGACGCGGCGGGCCGCAGAGCGCCAACGAAGCCACGGAATGCGGGAGCTCCTGGATGGGAGCCTCGTCCAGATCGTCGATGCGAGGTTTCTTGATGTTGGTCTCGGGGCTGGTCAGAGGAGTCACGCTGTTCCTCCGGATCAAGATGCCGGGACCCCTCTTTACCTCCTGTACACGGTCGGACGTATCCATAATAGTCAACGGATACGGATCACCAAAGCATTCACGCAATGAGGTCTTACCTCCGGTCTGTCTCTGTGTGTGTTCACTGCTTCCACATTCAAAGAAATGGACTCGACTTTGCAGCCGTAGGCCACGGGGGTGAGCTTCAGCACAGCGTGAAGGGGACACTTCAGGTAGGGCATCTCATCTGTAACGTGGGAAAAAAAAATGTGGTAACGTGATCTGATGTACTGTTATTTGAGCCTATTGATGAGAGAACAATGTCGTTTCTATGCCCACCTGCGCTTTTATCCAGGAAGTAGGCCAGGAGGCAGCGCATGACAGCCTGGTGGCAGATGACCAGCACGTTCTCCTGCCGTTCCAGCTCCATGATGACCGGCTCCACCCTCTGGACCAGATCCTGGTAGGACTACAAGCCAACACAGTGTTCACTCAATCTCATCTCGGGTTATGCAATCGTACAATTTAACGTACAGTAATCCTCCAATATTTGCGTTTTTGTTGCGCTCACTATGAAAGGGTCATGCTGCAGGGCGGAAAGACGACAGCGCCCCAGGTTAAAGGCGTGCCCATATTTGGAAGTGCTGACGTTGCAGCCCATCAGGAAGTACACATGCAGATCTTAGCCGCTGCTTTAGATGAGAAGTAGGCTGAACCTCGACAAGAATATATCTTTTGTTCCAAAATAAACCCCTGGCATTGCTCATTTTAAGAATGCGGAGTACCGCACGGGTCAATTCTGGCACCCAGATTATTTCATGACTTACATAATATTTCCAATATTTTTTTTTCCCCCTGATACTTTTATTTTCTGCCCTGGGAAGAACCTACAGCAGTTGCTTTCTGGTACATGGCCTGAAAATCATGATTAAGAGAATTTATGAGAGTAATTAATTGGTCACAACTTGAAATGTCACGCTCAATATGTCGGGTCCAAACATGAAGAAAACTTTGAAGTGTAAAACGGATATCCAAGTCATAAATCATAAATAATTGACATATTCAGATTCTACATTCCACAAATAGCCAGAGATGATTACATTTTCTTTGCACCTTACTTCATATATACACTGTAACTACGTAGAAGTGTACCTCTCCAGCAGGGTAGCGGTAGTAGTATTTATCCTCATCCCTCAAGTTGAACTCCTCAGGGAATTTCTCTTTAATCTCGTCATACGTCATCTCCTCGCACACCCCCTAAAACAGCAGGACAAGTTAAAAGTAGAATATTTGCGCAGAGGGGGGGGAAAAATAAATAAATCGTACGTGTCAAAAGAGTGACACCTCACCGCGTCAATTTCATTGAGGGCCTTCCACTGCTCGTACGGGACCCCCAGGTGCTCGGCCGTCTGGATGCTGCGGCACAACTGGCTGGTCCAGACTTTTAGATCCTTCAGCTGCTGCTCCTCCACAAACTTGGCCAAGGCGGTAGAAAACTACAACGGGGAACGCATACCAATCACCGCCTGATTTCTACCGACGTGGCAGCCGATCTTCGGAGCCTTACCTGCCTGCCCCTCGGCGAGAGGCCGGCGTCGCCCCCCAGCCGCCCCTCCAGGTTGTCTGTGCTCTCGCCGTGCCGACACAGGTAGATGGTGCGCGGCTGGACGTGGATATTCATCAGGTAGTACACGATCTTGCTCTGGGTGTGATCCTGGATGCGGTTGACCAGGAAGCGGCGACCCACGTCGATCACCTTGATGAAGGATAGCTCCCTGCAAATCGAGAGCCTGGATGAACAAATTGTCTGAAAACGGCGAGGGCGTGTTGAAAATGTCCCGTGAAAGAGGAGCCGCTTGCCTATCGTGCTGATCGGGATCCAGAGGCTGGTAGCTGGCTTTGTAACATTCGATCCTCCTTTGGAAATCCAACATGGCGTCCGTCTTGTTGCAGTCTTTGTAATCTGGGCAGGACACCTTTACTTCCTGGATGAAGGTCAGAATACTTTTTTTTTTTTTTTTTTTAAATATAAACGATCACATGCAAAAATGTACATTTCAGCTGTGATCAGTTTGCATCGTTGGAGGCGTGCGACTCACCATGATATTGGACGCAATGACGCCGGGGTCGTCGCAGACGGACTCGATGAAAAAAATCTGGACAGAAAAAAAACGGCGCATGCCGTCGCGGTGACGCCACACCCACAATCGATCGAGTTGCCATCGTTCACCCCACGTACCCTGAAGCTGTTCTCACGGCCGAACTGCAGGATGAGCTTTCGCCTGTCCCTCGTCGTGTTCGTCGCGTCGAAGACCTGCCGTCGAGAACGCCGTCTTAGTTGGTCCCTCGGTTGTTTCCGAACCACACGATGGGGAAACTTACCGCAACTTGGCCTCCTTCGTCTTGCAAGTAGGACTTGACGTCCCTCAAGGCCGCTAAGGCACATTGTCTGAAGGGCAAAGACACCGGTAAGTTTTTTTTTTTTAATTAATTTTTTTTAATCATTTACTCTGTGTATTGTCTTTTACGTAAGCGTGTCCACTTACTCCCTGATCTTGACAGCGCACTCGTTATCGGACTTGAAGAAATCGTAGGAGCTGTAGTTCTTGACCGCCTCCCTGCGGTACTCGCCCACGTTGAAGACTGCAGGCGGGCAAACGTCAAAACGGTGAGAAGACGCTTCAGTCTCACTTTGTCCGCGGGCGGCGGGCAGTACCTTTGGTGGGCATGCCGATCCAGTTGAGGTAGCGTGTGAGTTTCCTCGACATGTACGTCTTGCCCCGAGCCGGCAGGCCGACCATCACGATGACGGTGGGGGGGTTGGCGACGTGGGGGGCGCCGCACGCTGTCGCGACAACAGTCCGATTTACACAAATGCAAGAGCATCGGGTTGACGTTTACACTCATGACCCACTTTTCCGCACGGCATCCGGGCATGAACTTCCCCAGCGACCAATCCCATCACTGCACTCGCCCCTGTTAGCATATTCTGCAGCTCACCCCGACTCAGCATTTCTTTATGTCACAAGAAGTCAACTTAGGTGCGACCGTACTGCTATAAACATCTACGGTGCCAACTCACTAATCTTCCCTCCTTAAGAGCCACATGAATGGGAGGGGGAAAAAAAAAGATTAAGCCCGCTAATTGACAGTCAGACACTCTTAAGAGCCACATGAATGGGAGGGGGAAAAAAAAAAGAGATTAAGCCCGCTAATTGACAGTCAGACACCGACAGTGGCTCAGTCTCACATTTTACAGGACACTGCTTATATTTATGTCACTTTTGTGTCCAAAGTAATTATATGTTGATGAGGACTGCTTGGATATGGCCTTTAAAATCTGATTTGAATCGTTTGCTTGTTATAGAAAAAAAAAAGCAAATGACAATGTCATGATTCAACACCATTTTTTTCTTGTGGAATTTGCTCGAGCAAACTTTTTTTGAGAAAACAAAAATAATAATAATAATAATAGTAATCATTTTCTCGCAGGATGCTCTTTGTGAAGGTGATATCCGCCGATCAGAAAAATCCACAGAAAATAGTTTTTGACTTTTCCGGTCGCACGATCCCAATTTTAATTCTTGATCGACAGAAATACCGCGCTGGGTCGCCTTTTTTCTCAGTTGTACAGGTGAGGCAAGTCGACCTCAGCAAAATACGAGCAGCATACTTTGAGTCAAAAGTTACCAACATGTCAAAAAAATACCCACTACTTTTGCACTGTGTAAATGAAGCACCGATGTCATAACAGGACAACGTTATGGAAATGATCCCGTGCTTGTCGTCTGAATTAAACTTGCTAGTGACTTCTTGGAAATGTAGTCGCTCGAGGCCTTGGAAGAGTCACTAAATGTAAGCAACACCGGCTATTCCACTTTTGTAAGCTACTGTATGCACCACTCTGTTAGAGGCCAAGATGCGGAGAGACAATTTGAGCTTTGGAAGCGACTAAAAATATTTTGAACAAAAAAATCATCCTGACATATACAATTGCTAAGTGACCTCGCAGCCGTGTTTGATAAATGCTAAAGTTGTTTTAAATTTATACATCCTCCAACCCCTCCTTCCTGCATCAATGTCGCGACAGAAACACGCGTTGCCCACCGACCAATAAAGGGCCGCGTTTTTTTGCAGCATCCCACGCCGGGTTGCTGCGCACTGCGGTTACTATGGCGACCTGTGTCCAGTCACGCTCGGGTCGAGGCGTGCCGCGCATGCCGTTGTAGGATAAGTGCACTCTGCTACCGCGCTGACACCCACACCGTAATCACATTAGTCGACATGAACGTGACATGAAAGGATAAAAACAGTTAAAATTCACGGATCGGCGCTCATGGCGTGGGGGGGGGGGGCAGTGTCGTGCCTCAGCACATCATAGAGGTCATGTTAACACAAAATACGGTTCTCGTTCAAAATCACATGTGTAAATTCAGTCACGACGTCTTTTACCTCGACGGGGTGCCGGTTTATCATCCTTGGTTGGAACCCAGATCTTTTGGATCCTGTTCTGGGTCAGCTCTCTGGGCATTCCTTGAAGACTTGGAAAAGCCGCACACGTTAAGTAGGAAGCACGTCGGTTCAAACACACACGCAAACAGTCCCCCCCCCAAAAAAAATCTAAAGTTAAAAAAAAAAAAAATTGAAAAGCTTTTATTTTGCCTGAGCAAGAAAAAACGAGCCACTAGCAACGGTCGAGGCCGGTTGAGTAGAGCTAATCTGCCGGTCGCCAGTGCACATCCTCTATTTAACCCCGCCCGGCGGAGAGGCAACGTGACTTAGGTGACGACACAAAAACGTCGACGTCATAAGGTGGTGGAGCCTCAGTAGCACCATCTTGTGGTCATTCTCATCATTACTACTCGAACATGACAGTAATGAGTCAAAAGCCGAAAGTCACAACAGTCTGCTACGCTAAGTATTTGTCATGAGTGACGTAATTAGTATAGCGGTAGGAATGTCGATAGCAGTAAATAAATAACATGGATTATTATTATTCTTGGAATAATGCTGTATAATATAGCTCTAAATTTCTATTAAGAAATGTGTTTATGCTGGGGAGTCTTGAGCAATGGAGTTAGTCATTTCAACACAATAATAATAATGACACTAAAAATGATTCCTCACCCATGTGTTTATGATGTAATTCTGCCCTTCGCTATTTTTAGGTATTTCTCCGCACCTTGGCTTCTCGGGGAAACGTGCGGCTTGTCACTTGCCTATTGCTCGGGCTTGCACCACTGAGTCATTGTGAATGTAGTTACACACATACCGGTTCTGTACAAGCCCGAGGACACAAAATCTCCCAGGGTGTAAACATGGTTTTATTTATCACCTAAAAAGGACATAGGAACTCAGGAAAACTTCAGCTGGCAGCTGATCACTATTGTAATGTTTTTGCGTGCTTCTATAAAATCTTTAAGAATCTGTCTAACAAGTGTTTACTTTTATGTAGTTTTATGTCTCCACTATTTGTTCTCTTTTCACCCACCCACACTCCGACACAGCAGTTTAAAACAAACTTGCGATGCCAAATTTATGAGGCACTGTCGAATGTTGTTTTTTATATGCGCTGAATCAAAAGTGAGAGAAGTGGATGATCGTCGCTCTTTGTTTATTTGGCACCTGTTTTGTCTTTTCAGAAAAGCAGCTCAGATGTAGTACTTCACAGAAAAAGTGCTGGTCAACTTCGGAATCAGGTTGGTGAATTTGTTGTTGAAGAGTTGAAGTGTCCCAAAGGGGTTTACTTTTCATTTCATCATCCAATTTGTTTCTGAATTATTCAAGCTGGTCTGGGGGGATTCCTTTCTGACTGACGTCTTGCCACACAAAAGCCCCAGAGGGCCCCGTTGGAGCAGTTACATAAGTTCTGAATGAGGCTGAGGCTCCGTCCCATAATGAACCGGGAGCAAAGTGAAAATTCTCTGCCCCTTGGAGACGTTACTGTGGGACAAAATTGCGGCAGGGAAAATACATTTCTTAGAGGCTACGACTTCCTCAAGAGAGACTTTTGCAAGAAAACATCAGATTATATATTTCAACCCTTTATTCCATTGAGACAAAAGGTATTTCTCATCTCAGAACTACAACAAAAAAGTTAACCTACACATGATTCGTACACAAACGGGAAAATAGAAAAAGGGTGTATGTACATGACGGGGGGGATGATGGCCTCGTGACTACTCGCCCAGGTTAAAAACCCGAAATTTATCTTGATTGTAGAAGCAGGCCTTGACAACCCGTCCGCCGAAATAACGTCCGTTCAGATCCACCACAGCTGCGGAAGACAAAAAGGTGAGAAAACCGTGTCACGGTAAATAAATCACCCAACCTTTGAGACCAGTGATTCACAAACACTGTACTGTCAGAAATTAACCAATTTGACACTCGATCATTTACTTCTGAAAAATAATGACTCATCTATCTATCTATGCCAGTGACGTATACTGTAGTGACGGTATACACTGGTTGCCATTTCTGCCTGAAAACTTGCTTTGTAGTCTGATTCAATTCGTATTCAATGCAAATGTACTAAAAAGTTAAATACAACTGAACTGTGCTTCGGTAGTACTGTGGTGTCTTGCTAAATCTATGCGGTACCCCAAAAGAAGGCGACCAAAAAAAAGTATGTCAAAGCATCACAAGTACTAATTATTTTTACATTGCCTGTTTTTATTTTATTATTATTTTTTTTTTGCATGCCCTGCTCCACCAGCGTCGTGATGTAAGCGCGCAGTGCCGCTGGGAGACTGGACTGGGTTGCTGGGCCACATCTGATATAACACCACAGGGAGTCCGGTCTCACCTTGTTTCCCGATCTGGGCCAACCCAATTAGAAAGCAACACACTTTCACCCGCCCCGACTATACTAGAGCAGTTACACAACGGTTGCAGCAAAGTGTTGCAATTTAGGGTTTTGTTCGGAGGGGAAAATAATCATCAAACGTTCAGCTGCAATTTCTGAGTGTCAATCATCTCAGGTGTTTCCAAAGGCTCGGTGAGATACAAACCTTTGATGGCCGACTCCACCCTTTCAAACTCCAGAAATATTCGGACGGCTTCGTCGTCGGGCACTTCGGCAATCTGCGGAAAAGAGCTCGTTTTGTCAGTTTGAACCGAAGGCAGCGTTCGATCAAGATTCGACCGCCGCTCACCTCGAAGATGACGCATTTAATCACTTTGCCGTATTTCTCGCACTCTTCTTTGGTCTCCCCCTCCAAGTCCTCGTCCACCTCTCCTCGGCCCACCATGTTCTAAACGCAGGAAAGTTTCGATGCGCACATAAAACCTCCGTCAAATGAGTCCTGCTTCGTGATTTGCAGCGAGATTTCGTCATCATCCGGGATGACCGACGTACCCTGAGCAGGACCACTTTGGTGGGGCTTTTGAGTATCTCGGTCAGCGGGTTTGCATCGGACTTCTTGGAATCGGCTATAATGAGGGGGGTGGGGGGGGGCATTTATCAACTCCTCCATGGTGCAACCGAAAGCCAATATTAAAAAAAAAAAAATGCTGTATTGTATCCAACGTTATTGTTCAAGTTCAAGTCTAGGCATGTAACAATACAATCCTAATTTAATCTGGAGAAAATTCTATGGCGTTCGTGCGATATCAAATGATTACAATTTTTTTGGTCATGTTTTGCAAGACTTTTTCTTCCCTTCTCCAAGAAAAAACATTGCACAAAAAGCAACGTGGCGGTGCACATGGGGGTTATCTTACACCTCTGCTCATTTTAACACACGGAAGAAAAATTTGGATGCGTTAAGGATACGACAAAAAAAAAAAAAAAAAAAAAAAACGACTGCGCACTTTCATTCCTAATATTATGGCGTATTCATAATAGAATTGAGCAGAGGTGTCTCGCGAGAAAAACGAATCACAGAACAACAACGGGGTGTGGTCTAACCTGCTCCTCCGGAGGTCTCAGGAGCAACTGGCGGCTGCGCCCCTGCTACTCAGACACAACCGCAAAGTAGAAACATTCACCAGATGTTCAAAGATTCAAAAGTATCATCACAATCCTTCCGGGAGTGCCTTACGCTTTTCCGCCGCGTCACCGATGATGATCTTGCCACCTCTTTTGCTCGTCTTCTCCACAGACAGCGCCGTGCTCAGGCCCTGCTCGTGCTTGCCCAGGCCCTGGCCCTCCTTGAAGCCGTACTTCTGCATGATTTTGTGTGCCACGGTCCCCCTGGAGGAACGGCTGCATGAGCCGGGCGAGCTCTCGCTTTCTTCGCTGCGATGAGCGAAAGCGTCTGACTCACCCCATGTTAGCCAGGAAGGAGCTGGTCGGTCCGGGCGGGGAACGCGGCTGGTCCGAGTCCTCGTACATGGGCGGAGGGATGGCGGCCTTTGAGCCTCTGCCGGGACGACCTTCGTCCTCAAATGGGTATGCTGATGAACCTTGTAAATCAGGTAAGGAAAACTTAAATGATGCAAGGGGCCACAATTATTCATCAGTGTGACTGAGGGGCCACATAGGCCACACACTTCCGAACCAGATGTATGACAAAAATTCTATTTTAAATATGGACCAAAGAACTGCTCTTAATAGATTGATTTTTAACAACAAAACAACCACATACCGTGATTTAAAAAAAAAAAAAAATCCCCCCCCGATGCAAAAGGCTCTCTTGCATAAAAATGACCATTCAAAACAAAGGCACACAAAGAACAGCCAGTACACAATCATTGCAACA